CTGGCAGAGGAAGTATTACATTAGCACTTATTTCTACCCCTTCTCCGCTACTTTGTCTACTATATATGATATATACACATACACATTTACATACATACCCATATATACACACACAACCATACATATATGTTGTTATAAACAATTATCCAATGCTACGTCTCTAACGGTAGATGGTAGAAACTGTGTGGAACTCAACAGTGGAGGAGTCTGCACCAGAATCACATTTCACACCAGCAGTAATTTTTTATGACATGATGTCAAACGCTTGAAAGGTAGCCAGCTTGTTTTAATTAAAACTCATAAATGTCCTGAAACTCATCAATTTCCTGGAAAATTTTGATCTCTATTAGTGGCTGCATGGCCAGATTAATCAGCTAGAAGGCCCAGGGACAAAAATGTATTGTTGCGTCCCTGTTGACCTCTCCACGCCCTCTGTGCATTTACTCATCACCTCTAAGTTATCGCCACGTAAAGTGGACACAGCAGACTACACATAGAAGCTTCATTATTTGCAGGGACTCATATATTCCTTTATAATTTATATTTTTTATAATTTGAGCATAGCTGGCAGAGTGACAGTTTGTGTAGGAATTAAGGGAACTTGGGATCTTAGTACCATTTTTCCTGTTAAAAATAAAGTACAATAAGTGTTTGCTTACCATTAAGTTTCAGTTTTGGCCCTCCTAAGGGAAAAAGTTTGGACCCCTGATATAAACTAAAATAAATCTCAAGACTAGATAGGGGCTCCACATCAACTGATTTGTATTCCAGCCCTGAATGGCCGTGATGGATTTTATTAATGGCTGTGAATTGAATATGAGCGTCTGTTGTGCCTCACACATTATGGTTACACATGGTTCTGCACTCCCCTCAATGAAAAATGACTTTTGCACTGGATCGGCTGAGTTAGCAGTTCCTCCAAGTAACTGAATGTGCGTCCATGCCTTTCATTCGTTTATCCAGTCTGGTGTCGCTATGAAAGTACTCTTTTACTACAGACTTTTTTCCTTTGTGTTTCTGTGGCACTAAAGGGGAGTGGCACACAAGCTCTCTTCTTCTATTGAGGTGAACTTGAGCCAAGCACATACTTTACTGTTTCCCCCAGCGGCTCCAGTGGCTGTCAGTAGGCAGCTAATGTCAGGCAGCTCTCTGGTGTAAATGTGTTTGTGAACCTTGCTCCCGGTACAGCTCCTCTCTCAGCCTGCTGCTGTAAATAACAACTATGTGCATTTTGTGTGTCTGCTGGGTTCTGGTCTGTACAGCACTCGGGGCTTTATTGCTGACTCCTGTGCTGCTCCTTTGATTGAGGAGCACCCTCAGGAACACAGTGTATTCTGCCAAACTAAAGTTTATAACCATTTATACTATAAATTGACCTATATGAGCTTTCCCTGAACACAATGAATGAACGAAAAATTATGGACTGGCTTTGGCTTTAGGACACAATCTACTGTAGCACACAGTGAATTCAAATAAAATGAAGGTTGATGCAGGCTGCCAGTGTTCTCAGTGTTGTAATGTATCACAGATAATGTAACCTTTAATTGTTTTCACTTTTAGAGTTATTATGTGGATCTATGTGATTGAAAATCCTTTTTATCTTTTATCTATCTGTTGTTCAGAGGGAAACACAGAATATGATCCAGTTTCACCAAAGTCAGTGAATAAAGTTATATAGCTGTGTTTTTGTACAGTAATCAGAGTCCCCCAGAAACATGCTGCTCCAGCAGCGTCTGTCCATTTTCCAATCTAATTCTTTTCTTAATTGTGGTCTGATGAAGCGAGGCACTTTCATAAACGGCACATCCTTTGGAATTTCCCGTGCTGCACACATTACCTTTAAAAAAAAATCCAAATATCTAAGAATCTAAGAACTTTTTCATTGGTTCATTTATTCATTCTAACTCTGGCTCTTTGAGTGTACTCGTCACAAATTCATTGATTTCTATTTTTATTAATAGTTAATCAATTAAATCACCACTCCAGCTTACTTTTCTCTGTTTTATATAACTGTTTTTGTTTGTTTGTTTTGTTTTGTATATTTTTGATTATGGTCTCGGTACTTCTCTTGTTTTTCACCTTTATTAGACAAAATGAATTATTAATTAATAAGAAAAGAGATCTAAAATATGTATTATTAATGATAATAATTAAAGTGTACTTCTGTCTGTCCATTAAGATGATGTGTAAAAGCTTGCACTCTCAGAGATGTTCCTGCATCATTAATGATCATGCAGAATTTTAATATGGACTCAGAGTGTGTATCAAAGAGCATTAGCGTCTGTGTCCACTGGGCATCTCCTTAAAAACAAATGCTAAACAGATGCTGAGGGGAACTGCTGTGCGTGACTCTTGTTGTTGCTAAGCAACTAGTAAAAATCCATTTGAAATATGGCACTCTTCGGCTAAAAGTTGTCGTATTTTCAACCTCGAGTGCTAAAAACATGCTAATCACTCAGCACTGCCGGGATGGTGCAACAGGGTTCCGAACAGGAACTACTGAGAAATGGATGCCGGTGCTGTGAAAAGGCTTCCCTGTGGACAAGTTGCCTCAGAGATGAATTATAATTTATAAACGGCTGTTGCAACAGGAAACCAACCTTTTAAAATGATACCATGTTTTAAATACCCTCTTATATACTAATATTCTTAACTTATGCACTGACTACAAGTAGACAGATGTACCCATTCTTTTGGCACTGGGTGTTTTCATCAGTCACAGCAGTGTGATTCAGGGTTGTTTCAATCCCAAAATTCACAGTTTTTATGTGCCTGTAATAGCCAGTAACCTATCCATGAAAACATAGTAAAGTATACTGCGAGTGAACTGAAGGTTCGGCCTCTCTGACCAAAGGTTAGTTAAAAATCTTTACTACCTGCAATGAAAGTCAAACCACAGTCAGGGCAGATGGCACTATAGTTTTTTCCTCATGATATGACCTAATGGTGTGGAAATCTTGGGGAATCTAATGATTGACTTCTGATATTGGTGTCATGATCTGAGTAAATCTTGATTCAATAAACTTTAGTGCACTGTGTTCCAAACGATTGACTCTGGCTTAATTGCAGTATGAAACATATAACTGTCAGTTAAGCTATGGTTTGGATGAAGGTAACTATCTGATGACCGGAAAAGAGCAGAGAAAAGTGTGTGAGGTTGGAGAACACTGAGTGTGCTGACAGTGAAAACCACTGTACAACTCTGTACAATCTCTGGTTTTTTAAAATGAAACAGACAATGGATCCAGTTATTTTCTTCCCGACCGGAGTTGCCTGAGGTTTGGTGAAGTACTGCAAGTGTGTTTTGGCTGGTTGGCTCATTCGCTGGTGATGGTCTCCGGGTGAATGGGTATCAGTTATTCAAAAACAACTAAATCTTTGTCTTGCAAAGCTAATTATTAAGCTATGAATTCAAAAATGTTTTCCAACATTTGCTTTCCTTGAAGATGACCTACAAAATAACTGTAGCCTGTGCACTCTACAACATTGAGCAGGTAACATTGAGGAGGATCTATTGTCAGATATGGAATATAATCGTTGTGTTTTTGTTACCTTAGAATGAGACATTTTTATATAGGGGCTACAGATGGTGTAAGTCGACTTCCATGGAGTCTGCCATGTTGAACCACCGTGTTTCTACAGTAGCCCAGAACGACCAACAAAGTTTCTCCTACACACTTCACAGCCCATTTTTCATTCCCAGGTTGTCAAATAGAGATGTGAGCGGTGTTCAGAGCGGTGTATAGAAAATGTATCAGTAAAATGCCTGTCATCTTTTTCTAGTACTTAGACATTTGAAAGTCTGTGGTAGTAAAAGGAGAATGATGTGTACAAAGTTCACCCCGGATGGCACAAGGTATCTCCACATCCAAAACCTCAGAAAGATGTTTAAAGATTAAGGACTGCTGCGATGGAACTATCTGCTCTTCCATCTAATCTCAATACCCACTTATTCCTGGTCGGGGCTTAAATCTGCCCCAGCATGCACTGGGAGAACAGCAGAGATGCCTCCCAGGCAAGTCACTGGTCGATATCAGAGCTGCTTCAACTGTGTTTGCCAAACTCTATGTTGTCATATTTCCAAGCTGAGTTTCCCAAAAACAGCTCCGCCTCCACTGCAGCCAGAGTTATATAATGTTTCTGATGCATAGGAGCCTCCTGTATGTCAGAGATACCCAACATAGAGGCATACAGACGGAGACTGTGAGGGTATCACCAGGTGGTTCTTTTTTAGCCGGCTTCCAAACCTCTGCCTGTGTCTGTGTGTGCAAGTATTTATGCATGCATGTATGCAGGTGTGTGTGTGTG